CCTTGGCCACAGCGACACACCCTGGCCCTGATGGTTGCCTAGGCTGCCGCTAGCACCGTACGTGAACACACCCTGGCCCTGATGGTTGCCTATAGGCTGCGTTGCAGGTTTGCGACCAAAGGCACTGAGAGGCGTTTGAGGGGGGCCGTTGCCTTCGGAGGCCTAGACTGCTAGCACCGTACGTCGCAGCCCAGCAGGCCTCGGCTGCTAGCACCGTAAAGGCGCTGAGGAGGGTTTGCGGGGTTTGAGGGGGGCCGTTGCCTTCGGAGGCCTAGAAAAGAAGAGGCAGGCCTCGGCTGCTAGCACCGTACGTGGCAGCCCAGCCCGGGAGCCACCCAGGAACGATACCTTGGCCACAGCGACACACCCTGGCCCTGATGGTTGCCTAGGCTGCGTTGCGGGTTTGCAGCAAAAGGCGCTGAGAGGCAAACGGCTGCTAGCACCGTACGTGGCAGCTTAGCCCGCGGCCACCCAGAAACGACACCTTGGCCCCAGCGACACACCCTGGCCCTGATGGTTGCCTAGGCTGCGTTGCAGGGTTGCGGCCAAAGGCGCTGAGAGGGGTTTGAGGGGGGCCGTTGCCTTCGGAGGCCTAGAAAAGAAGAGGCAGGCTTCGGCTGCTACGTCGCAGCCCAGCAGGCCTCGGCTGCTAGCACCGTAAAGGCGCTGAGGAGGGTTTGCCAGGGGGGCCGTTGCCTTCGGAGGCCTAGAAAAGAAGAGGCAGGCCTCGGCTGCTAGCACCGTACGTGGCAGCCAGCCGAAACGATACCTTGGCCACACCGACACACCCTGGCCCTGATGGTTGCCTCGGCTGCGTTGCAGGTTTGCAGCGAAAGGCGCTGAGAGGCAAACGGCTGCTAGCACCGTACGTGGCAGCTCAGCCCACGGCCACCCAGAAACGACACCTTGGCCACAGCGACGCACCCTGGCCCTGATGGTTGCCTAGGCTGCCGCTAGCACCGTACGTGAACACACCCTGGCCCTGATGGTTGCCTAGGCTGCGTTGCAGGTTTGCGACCAAAGGCGCTGAGAGGCGTTTGAGGGGGGCCGTTGCCTTCGGAGGCCTTAGAAAAGAAGAGGCAGGCTTCGGCTGCTAGCACCGTACGTCGCAGCCCAGCAGGCCTTGGCTGCTAGCACCGTAAAGGCGCTGAGGAGGGCTTGCGGGGTTTGAGGGGGGCCGTTGCCTTCGGAGGCCTAGAAAAGAAGAGGCAGGCTTCGGCTGCTAGCACCGTACGTGGCAGCCCAGCAGGCCTCTGCTGCTAGCACCGTACGTGGCAGCCCTGGCCACAGACAAGTCCTGCAGCAACTGGCCGAAAGCAAGTTGAGCCACCGTTCCACCCTGCGGTGTCCCAGGCGCCGCCCCGCCTAGGCGTCAGCTAGGCAGGGGTCGGCGGATATATCGTTGACAGGTTGAAATCAGTGTCAAGGTTCCACCAAACTCCTTGCTCTAGCAGTCTTTCATGTTATACGTGTAGAATTAGCTGTTTTCACTCCAAACATGTCGAGGCTTCAGTGAACTTGTTGCACGGCTTGCAGCCAGCTGTCCATGAAAAAGTTTCCAGGCGACCTGGGCTAACGCCTGGAAGCTGTTTGTTGCTTTGCCAGTATGTACGTCGCCCTTGAGTATTCCCCCTTGCTTTGCTTTCCCCTCCACCTTTGCTCTATGTCCTCCTCTACATTTTTTTTTCGCCTCCTCTCCCTTCCTTTTTGCCCTCCCTTCTTCACCTGACCATGCTAACTTTACCCCTGACCTCAAATTACTCAACACCGCAGCAGAGCGGCTCAGATCTTGTAGGTGATTTCTCACACCCTTGCCCTACAGGGTTTGAGTGTGAACAAGTCACAACGTTCTGGTGGGCTCCTTAGTCCGTCAAGCACTTACTGCTTTGAGCACGGAATCCGCAGAGATTCAAGTTCATGCTCTTGCAGGTTCTGAGCAGCCTAGCTCGAGAACTATGGAGCCAAAGGAAGCGAAGAGGTGGGAGTCGCTTGAAGCTTGGTAACTTCGCAGTCCAGCTGGCTGAAGAACTGAAGACTTGCGTTTGGCCCGGCCGGGCAATGCAACATGACAGGCATGTCTCGTTCAGCGATGCCCATGACAAGAAGGCACAGACGCCCTGAAGGTGTCCGAAGGTCCTAGGGCACATCAAGTGTTGGAAGGTCCCTAGTGTGGGAGGTCGTGCAAAGGTTGGAGTGACTTTAGATGTTGTTAAGACGAGTGACAGTGACAATATGTTCAATATGTGTTACATTATGTTATAGACGCGTATGCAATGCATGTGTGTGTATCACTTACAAACTTGATCAAACTTGAAAAACCAAAGACGTGCTGTTCACTGGTGTTGAGTCGACGAGGCAGACGAAGTGGGACGGGGCTCGATGGCCGGTCTCATCGGACGGGTCGTGCGCCGCCCCGCGCTGCAGGCAGAGGACAAGTCTTGAGCTCAGCTTTCTCGATCCAACTCGTCGAGTGAACAATCTATATAAGTCGTGGCACCGCAGCGTTGGCTGAAGGGCGAGCGCAGCCCATCCCAAGATAAATACAGACATGTTGACACACGCAGATCCTACAGAGATCCCCATGATTGCTTATGAGATCTTTGAGTCCAATCAGGGGACTGCATAGGCTCCACACCAATTCAAACACTGACACTCTGAACAGTACGGCACGTGCCGTTTAAAAGTTTGGCCGTTTGGGCTGGAAATGGTTTCCGTTATAAAACACAATTAAGGATTCTGCTGTGGGTGCTGGCTGGAGCCAAACCGCAAGGTATATCAAGGTTACATTGCTAAGTGTCAGCCTTTGATAGTCGCAAGCACTGCCGAATGAGCTTCGACCGGCTCCTGGCTGTTCCTTCCTTGTGCTGGGGCGACCATGAAGCGGAAGCTTTCTTCCAGAGATATCGGCTGCTGCACCTGAGAAGACCTGAAGGGTGCCTGGGCAAGAGCTGCAGACACGGTAACCAGCATTTGGGTTGGGTAGTGATTGGGGTGGTTTGCCGATCTCGTGCCTTATATGCATGTAGATGTGGGCAATATGATGTACTTAGACATGTTCATTGTTCACCACATTTCACCACGCCATCGTCCGATATGTTAATCAAAAACAAAAGACGTTCCTTCCCAGGCGCCGGATCTCCTTTGACCACCACCGGCATCATCTCCACCGGTTCCTCTCCGGGCCACACCGGGTGGCGTGGACCGCGGAAAACGAGAGCGGCTCTTTGGCAGTGGCCCAGCACGCGCTGGGCGCTCCAAGACGCCGTGGCGAGGACACTCGCCCTGTGGGCGCATGGTACAGCAGCTTCGTGGTGGAGGGCGAGGTCGCCAGGTGCTTCATGGAAGGCATCCAAAGCGAAGGTGGTGAAGAGATGCAGATTCCACTTCAAGGTGCAATGGGGAAAGTGGGATGCAAGTGCACCGGGTGTACAAGAAAGAAATTGCTTGTGGCCACGAACCGAATTGGCGGGGAAAATGGTAAGAGAAGCAAATTGCTAAACTGATGCCTTCCACCGATAAAAAAGTCAACACTGCCCTCTAAAAAAACTTAACACTTAAAAAATGGTCGAGATGTCATTTCAATACAGGCGGGTCCCGAAAGATGGAACCTGGGAAGAGTTTCAAAACCGACGCCTCGGACAATTTTACGGAAAGTGTTCATTAAACGCGTATCAAAGATTGAAAAAGACCTACAAAAACTATCCGACACCTTGATAAAATATCGAGAATATTATTGGCCCAAATAGTCTTTTTATCAGGACTACAGATCTCAAAAGGTGAAGTCGCCCTGCTATGCTGTTTGGCGATGCCTCGGTGGAAAGTGCGTTAGTGTGGTTTTGTGCCACATGCGTGTGTAAATGCAGCGTGTCGCTGGTGAGCGGCACGAGTGGTGGTGATTCTAGAGGGTGGGTACCGAGTAAAACCTTAAAAAGCGAACTGCCTGGCGGACGTTTCTAAAACCAAAGGGAAACTGTATTTAGGGGTGCCCGACTTCGTGCGAAGAGTGAGCAGATGTCCAACCATCCATCACCGAAGGATGGCACCCCACCGGAACGGTTTGGTGCTTTGTGGGCTCCAACCCTGGCACGGATGGTCGCATGGTGGGAAAGCCTGAGCACGTGGATCAGCTCAAAGCTGGTGTCGTCACCATGCACAGCCAGCTCGCAGGCAACAAGGTTTGGCTGCTCCGGCCCCATCCCTTGGCAAATGCTTGGGCCCTTTGGACAACGGAACGTGAAAGTCTTGTGAGCGGGTCTTCAAGTCTGTGCCACGAACCATGACCAACCAAGCATGGCAGTTTTGAGAGGTCAAAAATGAGCCTAGTTCCCCAAACAGGCACAGTATGTGATTGAGTTTAAGAAACTATTTTGAATCTGCAATGATTTGTTGGAAGGAGTGGTTTGGACTCCTTTTCTGGGTCGACTCCTTTCATCCAGAAACCAGAGCCAACTCTCCCAGGCTTCGAGAACCGCACCTGCTTTGGCCGCTGAGCGGTTGGAGATCGTTTGCCACGAGGGCGATCGGTTGATAATTGACACCACTGCGTGGTGTCTGGGCAAAACAGGAAACAGCAGATTTTCGAAGTGTCGCGGGTTGGCCCAAGTGGGGCACAAGATTCTCCTGTGCAAGGTGGGCAGAGTATAAAACATAATGTGTTTGGTTCTTTTGAATCCGTGCGGGGTACCTGAAATGAGGGATTTCGATTTGGGTCGAATTTGAATGGAGAAAGCTGCAGGTTGTCTGAGTGAGACTAATCAGAGGTACCATTCTACCAGCATCCTTCCGGACACTGATTTCACCTGCTCAATTGCACAAGACCTGGCAAAGGGCCCACAATCGGCCGATCAAACAACCGAATCTATCCAACTGCGTGTCTCTCATCAACTCTGTCAGTTTTGCATGACTCCAACGACCACGCCCGTGGGAGCTCCTCCGGGCACTTGTGGGTGCAGTTGCTGTAGCCAGCACCGGATCAAGGCTTTGCAGTGGAGGTGTTTCAGAGAAAGTTCTCTTTTGACCCATCGACTCCTGAAGAGAGCTCGACTCCTGAAGAGAGCTGCAAGTTTGGTGCACAGACGCTGGACTGTTTCTCCACGGTCACAGACGCAGCTACTGGCGCTTTGCGACGTGACAGACGAAGATACGCGAAGACCCGAAAAGAGGTGAAAAGAGATGGCCTGCACATAGGCATGAGACATGCTGAGACAGGTGCTGCAAGAATGAATAGAGATGAACTAGGTGCCCATATTGGCAAGCGAGAATGCACTCAGTGACCCAAGGATCCGCAGTTCATGATCTCCTGTTGGTTGGATGCCACATACACTTGCTGGCTCCCAGCGTTTGACTGAGGCCTTCGGGCCCAAGTATCCCGAAGGGCCCTGGTGACAGATGGAAGATTCCGCCCAACTACGAGGTGTGGGGCTAGGGCTGGAGAAAGTGGAACTGGAAGAATCCTATGCCACGTGTGTACCCATGGAGCGTCACATAGCCAGAATGTTGGGCTTGGGGGGTCGGAGGGTGTGGTGTTACAGGCGTTCCTCCAACAGAAGGGGTGACGTGGTAGCATCGAAATCCGCCTTGCAAAGCAATGAGCCCTTGAGGCAGTTGACCTTGGGTGCGCGGTGAATTGCAGACCGCCGCAACATAAATAGTAAATTATCTATTAAATTGTTTCTGTCAATATCAGACAAGCCGTACTCCACAGCAGATTACGAAAGAGAGAGATAGGGGGGGCGACAAGGAGAGAGTGAGGGAGGGAGGGAGAGACAGAAAGATGGACTCTTGCTTGTCAATACCTAAGTCTAGTCTAGGTAGTGTGCCACAAAAACCAACACACTCGGCGTCAGTCAGAAGCCATGACAGCAGTTTTTCAATGCTCTTCATGCACCAAACAATAATGTGTCGAGGGCGACCCTGGGTGAAGACATGCCTTTCAGCAGGTGAAGCAGCTCATTGGAACGGGTTCCTATGGCAGCGTTTGCGAGGTGGGTCCGCTGCGTTGACACTTCGATGGCTATCAGAAAGAAAAGGACGCCCCCCCAAGTGCACAATCATGGATGTGGAACAGGAACCCTGGAAGACAATGCGGAATGTGTCCGCTCCACTTCATGAGCGTTAGAAGACAGAACCTTCCTGCAGCTGAAACTTTCTCATGTGATGTAGTCATTGATATAAGTTGGAAAGCCAGGGCCTTGCACCAAAAGCGGGAGTTTTTATCCATGAGACCTCCTCTGTGTTCGATGCGAATTGGTTGCTCACAGTGTGACGTCCCGGAACCCCATCAGGCCTTTGACAATGACAAAAAGCGACTCGTGGCGATCAAGAGGCGCCCGTTCGGTCGAAGGTAGAAGTTGTCCAGAGAGTTGCCGTTCGAGCCATTCGAGAACAGATGGGCGTTTCGTTCGGCATAATCTTACAACAAATGGTGGTTTTCCTGCGGAAACGGGGTGGTTCTCGGTTCTCAGCTCAATTTCAGGGGCTTTTTGCTCAACCATCTTCGGCCAGGATTGCCCACATGTTTGAGGATTTGATCGACTGCAAGTGCCTATCTCAGGAAATGTGTTCATGTCAACCGAAAGGCCGAAAGACCGGCTACTTTTGGAGCACACAGGCACCAGAGAAAGGCTCGTCGCAGCCTTTTGGCTTTAAGTTATATACAATTGAGGGTTGGAGTCTGTCTTGTCCATGAAGCGTTTAATTTCAGGCGCATCCTGCGAGAGATTGCCATTCTGTCCAAGCTCGAGCATGAAAACATTGCCCGCGCCCTTATAAAACAGTATGTTCCTTTGCGGCCCTTTGTGCAAGAATCAGCGCTGCTTTTGATGCGATTTCCCCTCAACCCAGCAGAGAGGATTTGATGTCAACATACCTAGACTGGGCGGGGGTCGGTTCTGTATTCTGTGATCCAGATTGCAGGACTGCTGACTACTGACTACTGTGCTTGTTCGCACAAAGCCTGCAATGAGGTCCAGGTTTATGACATTGCTTGCAGCCCCAGTCTTCATCAGTTCGACGAGCTAGAATGCAGTCTAAACTAAACCTGAAGGCTTTCACTCCAATTCTGGTTTGGACATGTTTGGACGCCAGTGCACCTAGCACAACCTGTTTGATGCTAATCGTTCTTTTTACCACTGTTAACTTGCTTGTCCAGTGTTGGCCCGACCGTAGCTTTTCATGTGAATTATGCTTCTGTTCGTTGAGGTGGCGCCAAGCAACATTCACAAGCTTTGCTGGCATGTTTCGATCTCGCAAACCCCAAACGCCCCAGTTTGGGTGCACGAACATTTGGACGGACTGAAGGACGGTCTTCCCTCTTTGCACGGAAACGATAGGCCACTTGGCATTTTCGGACTCAAAGAGAAGTTGCAGTGCACACGGGCAACATTGGCGTTTATATGATTTATATGCACATGAGTGAGAGGGAGACGCAAAAGATTCCGTGACTGTTTAGGCCCATGACTTCTTCTCAAACCAACCACTTCAATGGAAAGTTTGGCTTTTGATACAGTAAAGAACCCAGAAGTCTTCAAAGCCAATGCACTCTCAAACTCCTTTGCCATTATTTCTGATCAGGAGTGCAAAGCACCTTCTTGACTCACTTTATGAGTGTGTCACTTCATGTCTACTCAGAACCCAAGATCATGGAGCTCCTAAAAACTCGCAACATGACACGAAGTTCTTGAGGCCCTTGACCAAGATCGTAGGTGAAGTGAAGCCTCGTTGATTTCGTTCTTGGGCGACCATGCTTAGCCCCTAAAGTGTTGTGTTCTTTTTGCTTGCTCGACAGCTTCGACGAGCTCTACATGGTCATGGAGATTTGTGATTCAGATCTGAAGAAGCTTTGCCGAACGGACCCTGTTCGTCAATCGAAGTAGGGGGTGAATAGGTGACAGCTTTGTTGAAAGCAAAACAGGCCACTACTCTGGTAGGTGGAATCCGCGCGCATGTTTTTCATGACTCTTCTTGGCCCTTTGTCTTTTGCAAAACGAGCCATGATGTCGCTCGGCATGTGTGCGTGATTTGCTCGCATGTCTCTTATCCTCGCAGGATGTGACACTGACCCCACTTCACATCAACACTCTTCTCTACAACTTGCTTGTGGGACTCAAGTACCTGCACTCAGCCCCGGCCTGAGACTGGAAACTGAGCAAGTCCAGAAGTTAGCAAGGCAACCGGCGGCGACCGGTGGACCTCGACAACAACAAAAGCACTGTTCAGGAGTTCCCGGATCCAGCACCTGAGTATGCAGTGATGCTATGGATTTGAGCTTTTGCCTTCATTGGTCAAACACCCTGACGTGATACTCACACACTTTCGATGAATCAAGAGTCTTCAGTTGCTCAGATGTTCCATTCTGAAGTAGATAAACGCCCGAATTGGCGGCATCATGCGGCATCCCAGTTCAGTCCATACATGTGTTATTCAACATTGCTGTGACATATTTTTATATACACCCGCATCATCGGTTGGCGGATATATATATATATATGTGTAGAGTATAGGGAGAGAGGAAAAAGGAGAGATCTACATGTCTGAATCTATGTGTATATGATACTGTGTGGATGTGTTCCTAACAAATGTGCAAATTAAAGGGAGCAGCCGAAGTTCCAAAGCAATTATAACAAATATGTGGCCAACACCTGGAAAGAAGTGAAAGGAAAGCATAGGACACGCAGCCCTTACACACCCTGTTCACCTATATGCAACCATTTTTGTAGAACCTTCCTTTGACGTAACGTATATGGGGGCCCCTTAGGTATTGCACGATGTTTTGCCGTCAGCTTGTGCTTTTTCTGCTTCCCAGGCTGGGATTTATCACAGGGACTTGAAGCCAGCGAACTGCCTGGTGAACCAGGTAGAGGGAAACGAGACAACGAGACACTGGCGCTTCCGAAGCATCTCCAAGTCCGCATCATCCTTGTGGATAGTCACCACAATGTTCCATGCTATGTGGTGGCTACCACAGGAAATAGACAGACAGTAGAGATCACGAAAGCTAGCGTCAGCTAGCTGGAGTTACTCTACTAGGAGCTAGGACGCTACTAGGGGCTCCTGGCATCGCTGCTAGGAGCAAGAAGCTACTAGGAGCAACAGCAAAGGGCATCGCTACTAGGAGCAAGGACGCTACTAGCTGGAGTTACTCTCCCTCATCATCGCCTTTGTCGTTGTCGTCGTTATCGTCATCGTGTTCGTCGCCTTCGTCGTCGTTTTCGTCGCGGCATCGTCTTCGTCATCGTGTTCCTTGTCCTTGTCCGAGCCTGCTCGTGTTGCCTGTGTTTTGCCTGCGTTTGGCATCATGCGTTCATCATAACATTCTGCTATTGCTTTTGTATGGCCAATGACCAATGACCTTCTTATGCCACAGAAGTTTTCTCCTCCACCGGGCTTGTACACACCAAACCACAAGTTATATCAATCAATTTATAACAACCACGGTTTACACCAAACCATGGTATCACTTGCATTGATACCGCTTCACGTTCGGGCAAGAGTTAGGAGTTAGGGGTGTTTTTTGATGGCATGAACGCTCTTTATCGATTTTGGAACAAAAACCAATGCGAACGTCGGCTGCAGTCTCGCTACCGCTCACCGCATCCAGACCATGCTAGCTTTCATCACCAACCCCCGGCCACAAGTATGGTGGAAGAACCTTCAGACCCAATTTTCCAAGATGCTCAAAGCAAAAGCAGGCGGGCCACAGGGGCCGGGCTCCGGTAGTTTCAGCCACATGCTTCAGTCGCAACATCATCCACACGATCGATGTTGGCCATCGTTTCAGCCGTTTCAGGACTGCTCGGTGAAGATCTGCGACTTCGGCCTTTCGCGAGCCATCGAAGCGGCCGAACAGCCACATCTTCATGCGTGGCTTGGCCGGTCATGGCGGCGAGCTGCCAGACAAAGACCACCAAGAGAGAGAGAGAGAGACAGACAGACAGACAGACGGACAGACGGACAGACGGACAGACGGACAGACGGACAGATGGACAGACGGACAGACGGACAGACGGACAGACGGACAGACGGACAGATGGACAGACGGACAGACGGACAGACCTCCAAACGGAGATTCTGTGAAAGTCAACGTTTTGTTATGTGTTTCCTCGGATGGCTTGGATGACTCGGAAAGGTGACCAAATCTTTTACTTGACATGTTTTCTGTGGGATCAGGGGCTGAATTGAGCTTTAAGAATCATTCAACTGTTTGGATGTGGGAAAATGTGGGGCAGCTGGTCCCTATTGAACAGTGTAGCCTTTGGATACCTTTGGATCGGCAAGTCATGCTGCACCATTCTTCCTACGGTAGACTGGGGATATCATGGGATACGTAATCTAAGGCAATCGGCAATCTAAAAAATACCTTAAGAATAGAGATATCCATTGGCGATGTGGTGCAGGATATTGATCCTGACTCCAAGGTTGCCGAACACGCCCAGAGGAGATGGAGAGCCAGAGGCGGGTGGCAAGTGGGACAGCTGAAGGTCACACGTATCATGTTTGAGAAATCCCTGCCGCAGCTCGTCCTGAAAGTCTGATTGTTTTCGCTTTAGCCCGTTTTGCGGTCGCCACCAGGTGTCCATCATGCCACGAGATGCATGGTTGATGCCCGCCTGACCTTTTTCTCCTTTGGCCAAACCTCCTTTCAGGAGGTCACCTACGGCAGGTTCGCTTCGCCGCCATAGCGTGCCTTGAGATCGAACCCTTTGGAGGGGTTGCAGCCTGTTGGAAAAAGAAGCTTTTGCCTTTGCTTCTTTGAAGCGCTGCCAGTCACGGAGCTTGCAGAGCCCGCTGGTTGGAAGTCTTTGAGCCGGAGCCAGCACAGCAGAATTCGACCAGGGCAAGTGGTGGCTGGTGCGCTTCGAGGTCCTGGACTTCGCCCTCCCTACATCCTCAACTTTGACACCAAGCTGCTTGGAGCGGCTGCTGGGGACTACGTCTTGGCCTTTGACCTGACGGACCTGGCAGGTGGGAGACGCAGAACCAGGACACAGACCTCAAGAGGTCATGGCTTCGGAGAGACAAGATCTCCGAACCCCGACATGGGACGGTGAGCCATCCACCTTTCCGGACTACGTGCGCAAGGTCCGGTTGGCCTATGAGAGGACGAGGGCACGGCGCCGGAAGTACCTCGGACCAGAATTGGTCGCTGGTCTGACAGGAAGAGCCTGGACGATCACCCAGGAGATTTCTCACCGTGACCTGGTGAGTAATGATGGAGCGCTCTTCCTGATCCGCTACCTGGAGGAGCACCTCGGACGGGTGCCAGTTCCGGACGCCGGAACGAAAGCTGAACAGCTGTTCGTTCGCCTTCGCCGGCCTTTGAACATGTCCATGGCCACTTGGTGCTCTACGGTGCGGGAGCACTACCGTGGTTTGCAACGGGCTTTGAAGCGAGCCCGAAGGGAGCAAGATGACAATCGCACTGGGTCAGAACGAATGGCTCCAGCAGGAACTTCAGTCTCGAGAAGATCACCGCCTCGGACGCCGACACCAACGCCTCCACCTTCGCGAGATGGACGAGCACGAGGAGCAGATGGAGCTAGTGGACCTCCCTCACCCTCTTCGTCAACCCGTCGCCGGGCTAGCAAGAGGTCAGTGCCTGAGCCAGATCCACCCAGCTCAGCGCCTGATGAGGGAGAGTTTGAAGAGGTTGAGCCCTATGTCCCGGTGACACCAGAGGTTCCATCTGCCACTTCCCCTGAACCCCATCGACCTGAAGGTTCTTGCTCAAGGGATGAGACACCACCTTGTCGCCGTCGTGAACGTGATTCTCGCTCGGACTCCAACACCGAGGACGAGGAGGTGACCAGAGGTTTTGAGCGATGTGAAGAGCTGGATTCAGGTCTGCCGGAGGTCCTGCCGACCGAGTTGGTTGGTTGGTTAGTTCACAGCAACGCCTGAATGTGCTTTGCTCCATCGGGAACTCACTACGAGCTGAAGATGTTGAACGCGGACTTCGTGGTGCAGAAGATGAACTACGACTTCATGAACGTGAACAAGTTCCCAAGGGGCATGGAAAGAAGGGCACCAATCGCCCTGTGTTCTGGATGGAGCACCATGGTGAACTATGGAGCTTTTGGTGTTGGGCAATCTTCGTATGCCTCAACTGCAACCCCGGCATCTTCCAGCCAGGGTGAAGGCACGTGGTATCAAGATGGCCGAGGAGGCTACACCTGGTGGGACTATGATGAGGAGACTGAGGAGTTCTACCACCAGGACGCTGCTGGAACCTATTGGGCCCTCACGGACTGGGATTCACGACATCAGGAATCCTACCTCACTGAGGAGCAGCAGAAAGAGCTCGACCAGGCCTATGCCACCTACGAAGGGAAATTCAGGAGCTTCACAGAAAGCCGCAACCTGATGCACCAGAAGCAGTTGGGAAGAGGCTTCTTTCCAAAGGGCGGCAAGGGCAAGAAAGGAAAAGGAGGTGGCAAGTTCCGACCTACAACATCGACCTCATCGTCTTCGACTGGACGAGGAAAAGGGGCAGCCATGTCCGCTGACGTGATGGCTGCTGGAGTCGGAACACCGGGCTATACAGGCTGCTTCATTTGCGGCAGCCGAGATCATGAATTTCGCCAATGCCCTCGCAAAGGAGCAGGACGCAAGGGCAAGGGTGGCAACATCTACGTCGTGACGGAAGTGGTTGGGATCGTGCCGGAGCTGGTCGGCCATGTCTCGCAGCCCGACTTAGAAGGGTACGCCGTTCTCGACACCGGCGCGACAGAGACAGTCACTTCGTTAGAAGCTTTAGAGTATGTCATGAAGAAACGTCGGGCCCTCTTCGGTGATGAGTATGTTGAAGTGATTGATGGTCCTCCCAAGTCCTTTCGATTCGGAAACGGCCAAACCATGCCAAACAAAATCTTCGGAAAGCTTCGTTCTCATTCCACAGTTGCTCGCTCAACACCACAGTACCCTCGGAGCCTTCACGCTCCACGCTGCAGGCGTCCCACTCCTTCTGGGAATCAAAACGCTTGAGAAGCTTGGGGCCGTAGTTGACTGTAGGAAAGGAGCCATGATCCTGCAAGCCATAGATGCGACCTTACTCATCCCACTTGAAAGGTCATCCCACTTGAAAGGTCACCGACAGGTCATTTGCTCATCAACCTATGTGACAATTGGCTGGCAGGAGGCTCACGGATTTACTTCATCTCAGACCACAGAGTCGAGAAGAAAGAGTTTGAGCCCTCCGACTCGGTGTACATGATCAACGCCATTGGGGATGAGCAGAATATCACCCATACTGAACCCCCTCATTCTAATGAACGGGATGGCAGTGATCATGTCCAACGATGGCCCGACGATCGTCGCAGTTCGAGTTCGAGTCATTTGCAGTTGATGTCACAGCATGAAAGAGATGTTTTTGTCACCATCCCACCTCATGAACAAGCTGATTGGTTGAGAGATTTGTTTTCAGTTCGTGAAGTTTCAACACCTGGCACTCCACCCTTGCAGATTTGGAGATTGCCTGAACCTTCCGCCTCAGCTTTTCCGGAGCAGGACATGTCCCTGAGGACACTTGCTTGGTTAGCCAGCCTGCCCGCGATCCTGTCCAACGAACTTGCCCATGTCGTCCCATGGCAAGAAGGACCAGGCCAAGCTGAAGGAAAAGAACACGGGCCGAGCGCTGCAGCGGAAGGACGACAAACTCGACTACTCCCGGACCGTGCGCGCCGACCCTCGGGACCCACGCACAGTGGGCAGCCCCTGCTTTGGGAGCCACGAACCGGCAGCTCCATTCCGAGGGAGTCCAACGGGCGAGAACGCGCACCAAGTGCAAGTTGAGACTGGAGTACACACCTGCATTGCATGGGGAGCTCATGCTCTCACAAGGCAGGCCGGCGCATTGCCGGTGGATGTGGAGCGCCAGCTGGACAGCCTCAAGGAGAAGGCACCCTACAGCGACCTCCTGCGCAACCACGAGATCGGCCTCGACGGAGCCGAGCGCAGCTGCCTGGATCGCCTCGAGAAGATTCGCCACCGCAAGAACTACAACAGGTCTTCACCAAGCACTCCATCGACACGGGCCACGGACGAGACGACGGTGAGGACGGCCAGCGAAGGGTATCGCAGTCCCTCGCAGCAGATGCCTCTTCGGCCAAGAACGCCAGTGATCGATGTCGAGCAAGGTGGGCCTCCAACATGCCGACCAACGGTGGTGAACCTGGAGGAGGCAGACCATGCAATGCTCCCTGGGAGAAAGGAGAGGCGCAGTTCGCTGACGCCGGAGGAGCTGGAGGCCGCAGAGAGGGAGCGCAACCGATCTCCTTCGACCCCGAGTTGGCTGGATGTGGAAGAGGCGGAGCGGAAGACTCCGTGAACTATGAGGAGAAGAACGACATCGAGCCGGACTATGAGCTCATCATGGCGGATGAGACGGACGAGAACTACCACGACGACTTCACCATCCTGCATTTGAAGGATGAGGAGAAGAACTATATGGTGAACCTCACGCAGGACCACTTCATGGACCTCGAGGACGAGATCTATGCCTGCGGAGGACTTCGAGAAGAAGATCGGCTCGACGTGCTGGAGCTTTGCTGCGAAGAGAACAGCCTCCTGGCGGACACCATCAACAAGATGGGTGGCAAAGCTGAAAGAGCCGGCCTATTCAATGGCTGCGACATCTTGAAGGTTGAAGGCAGGGAACGGATTCGTCAGATCATCCGGACCAGACACCCAAAATGGATCTGGGTGGCACATCCCTGCGGAGCTTCCAGCCCCATCCAAAGGTTGAACGAGATTTCTGAAGAGGGCTGGTACAAGAGCATGAGGCGGCAACAAAAGTCCCGACGCCTCATCAAGCTGGGAAATGAACTACATGCTGAACGGTGGTCACGTGGCTTGGGAGTGGCCTCGCTACAACGATGGATGGTACTTTCCAGAGGTCCGCTCTTTCCTGGACTATGAGGACCACAACTTTGATGGCTGCATGTTTGGCCTCCGTTCACTCGAAGGCTTCCACAAGAAGCCGTGGACTGTCCGCTCAAGCAGAAGTGGTGTCTTCGAGCTCATGGAGCGGAAATGCAATGGAAGCCACACCCATGTTCCTCTGGAAGGTGGCTGCAGGACGAAGAAGTCAGCTCTCTACACCACCTCCATGTGTAGGACAGCAGCCAAGTGCATCCTGGACAACCTGGACACCGCCTACGATGTGTTCGGCGTTGAGACCATCAAGATCGACCGTGAGAGCCTCAAGACTATGACAGCTCAGGAGCTGGAGAGACTCACGGTGACGGTGATGAAACTACACCGGAGATGTGGACACCCAAGCAACCGGGCTTTGGTGAGAACTTTGGCAGCCCGGAATGCCGATGGAAAGATGCTGGCAATTGCAGAGCAGCTCAAGCGCGATGAATGCCAAGAAGGCCAATTCAGTCCACCAATGGGCAACGTGTCCCTGGAGAAGGAGGAGAAGATTTGGAACACGCTGCAGATGGATGTGATGTTCTACAAGCACGGAACCAATGTGCACCACTTCCTGATCATGCTCGACGAGGCCAGTGGATTCTCCATCTCGGCAGAGCTCATGGTGCGCACCGAGGACCTGCATGCCAACGTGGACACCCCCAGCGTGATCGAGGCGCTGGAAGGCTCTTGGTTCCAGTACTTCGGCCAGCCAAGCCGCATTCGCTGCAACTTAGAAGGTGCGTTCAGAGGCCGAGATTTGGAGGCCTTTTGCGCTGAAAGAGGGATTGAGCTTCTGCAAGTCCCAGCAGAACACCACCAAAGCACTGGGGACGTGGAGCGGCAGATTGGCGAACTTCGCCACAAGGTTGAGTTGTTTTTGAGAAATGAAGATGTTCCACCTCGACGAGCCGTCTACAGCATGACCAGTGCCCACAACAACATGCGCCGCATCGGTGGCTACTCACCATCACAATGGGCTTTCGGACGGCAGGTGGACAATGCAGACAACGTGGCGATGCACTCTTCAGAAGGAACCTCCGACACTGCCATGTCCCAGAACCTGGAACTTCGCCTTCGAGCTGAGAAGAAGTACCTCGAGCTCCAGGCCAAGGCCAAGATCAGCAGGGCGCTGAACTCCAAAACAAAGATTTCCTCTCGGTTCTTGCCAGGAGACCTGGTCTACTACAAAAGGTACAAGGTGTCGCAGGACTTCCCCGCACATAACCTGGTGGACCAGCCTCGCCTACGGATCAGCCGCTGGTATGGGCCGGGCAGAGTCCTGGCAACAGAAACCCGACTGCAGGAGCAAGGCACTCGTCGTGTGGCAGCTTCCACCATCTGGGTGGTGTCCCAAGGACGATTGAAGAAGTTCCATGTAGACCAACTTCGCCACACCAATGAAAGAGAGCGACTGACCTGCAGCGACACTTCCATGGACGCTGACGGCAATTGAGAGGTTGATCCAGAGGGGCAACTTCGACGACTACACCCTGGAGTTTGAGAAGAGGAAGAACTACAGCCAGGCACAGCGGAGAGCGAGATCGAGAACACCTGTGCCAGTTGCTTTTCCTGGACAGTCAGGACAGGCTTCTTCTTCGGCTTCAGGACTACATCGACCTGAACCTGAACCTGGCGAGACTGTGGATGACGGCATGGATGAGACCGAGGCCATGGAGGAGGCAGAGACAGGAATAGATGGCAACCGCCTGTTCCATGACGTGACCTACAACCCGCTGAAGAGGATCGCTGGCGCTAGACCTCGTGAAGGTGAGACACCCTTCCACAAGAAGAAGGAGCTGGAGTCGGCCGCCATGTGGCGCCAGAATGTTTCCCACGACTTCGTCTACGGCGACTTCGTCTACGGCGTGGAGATTGAGATGCCGGAGAACGAGGCCGCCTGGAGGAGGATCTTAAAGGACCCGGCACGCTTCGTGGCAAAGAGCGTGCAAAAGGGAGCAGAAGTGAGTTGGGCTCGCCTTGACCCGAACAGAGGGTAGCGATGCAGGAAGCAAAGATGGTAGAGGTGGATCAATGGGTCCAGGAATCCGTCTGTCGCCACTTCAAGGGCGTGATTCCACAAGGAAGGGTGATGAAGATGAGATGGGTTTTGACCCTCAAGGCCACAGACAATCCAAAGGTGGCCAAGAGTAAAGCCCGCATCGTCTTGTTGGGCTATACTGACCCTGACCTCACCACCTTGGCTACATCAGCTCCAACGTTCACACGCCGGTCCCGACAGCTGACGCTGAACTTAGCAGCAGCCAAGCACTGGACACTCACAAAGGCAGACGCCAAATCGGCTTTCTTGCAGGGCACCATGAACAGGCCAACAGGAGCATCTATGCCATTCCCGTACCGGAGCCCTTGGTGTAGCTCCTGGAGAATGTGTCCAGATCCTGAAGGCCGCCTATGGACTAGTCTCAGCGCCCCGTGAATGGTTCCTGGAAGTTAACAGGGTGGCCACTGAGGTTTGCAAGCTTCGCCAGTTGAAGAGCGACCCATGTGTTTGAGTTCTTGATGGACCTCGACCTGGCGATGAACCTCGCGGCATCATTGCCGCACATGTGGACGACTTCCTCATCGCTGGCGACAACCTCTCCCCGGAATGGCGGGCTGCGATGGACAAGTTCAAGAAGGCCTTTCGCTGGTCTCCATGGGAAAGCACCCCATTCCTGCGTTGCGGAGTGACCATCAACCAGCTGGAGGGCCACTCCTTTGTCCTGTCCCACGATGAGGACTGCACGGAGATAAAGCAGGTGGAGATTGACAAGAAGCAGGACTTCATCACGGACGAGGAGTACTCGCAATGCCGGGCTGTGTTGGGAGCAGTACAGTGGCGTGTGCTCCAAAGCGCGCCGCAGCACGCTGCGAAGCTTTCATGGCTTCAAAGCGCCCTTACGCACTCCAAGCACAACAAGGACTTGCTGCAGCAGGTCAACAAAGAGGTGCATGCCCAAAGGCACCTTTCGGTCCACGTCAAGCAGCTCAATGTGGACCGCTTGGAGGACATCGCCTTCGCGACCTGGACGGACGCGGCCGTTGGCAACCGGCCGGACATGACCTCCACAGGTGGCTATCTGGTCGCCATGGTGGGCCGAGGGCCGAAAGGGATTGGTGAATCCTCTTTCATGGAGGTCGGGCAAGCTGCCGCGGGTGGCTCGCTCCAGCCTTGCGGCTGAAGTCCAGGCGCTCTCGGAAGGAGAGCAAGAGCAGATGCTCTGTCGCTTCCAATGGGCCGAACTGATGAACAAGGAGGTGAATCCTCTCACCTGGCCCTGGCGACTCAGCAAGCGGCGATGGTGGTGGACGCCACAAGCGTCTACGACGCAGTCCAGAAGGGGGAGACGGCAAGCTCGGCCCACAGCATGAAGGAGAAGTACGCAGCTCTTGAGCTGATGAGCGTGGCCGAGAACCTCCGCCTTCAAGGCACCCGACTCCTTTGGGTGTCTTCGACGCTCAACTGCCCGATGGCTTGACGAAGGGTGCCGCTCAGGACATGTTGAAGGCCTTCCTGCAACAAGGCCAATGGTGGCGGATCATCTTTGATCCCATGTTCGCGGCCTCGAAGAAGAAGCCGAAGGCAGAGCGGATGCAATCAGTGCCTGAGAATTCCACCTCGAGCTCTCCTGACTGGGCACTGAGCATGCTGGAGCTGATCCGGCACGATCGGACACCTTTTGGCAACAGCCTTTTGGGTGTCTGATTGTTTTCGCTTTAGCCTGACTGTTTTGCGGTCGCCGCCAGGTGTCCATCATGCCGAGATGCATGGTTGATGCCCGCCTGACCTTTTTCTCTCAATTGGGTCAACAGGGACCCCTTTGGCCAAACCTCCTTTCAGGAGGTCACCTACGGCAGGTTCGCTTCGCCGCCATAGCGTGGCTTGAGATCGAACCCCTTGGAGGGGTTGCAGCCTGTTGGAAAAAGAAGCTTTTGCCTTTGCTTCTTTGAAGCGCTGCCAGTCACGCACTGTGAGAAAGCGGCCGTCCATCATTCCCCGAGGCTGTGCCTGGTGTGCCTCACACACAACGGCTCAAGAGGTGGGTGGATGCGATTATCAGAGGCATTTCTTGGCTATGTTGATCCCCTTAGAACGAAGCAAACTGAAGTGCTGCGCCATGAGTGGACCATGGCTGCACACCACTGAAGAAGGCTTACCAGGTCGATTCCCAAGCGTTCATTGGGGAGGCACCTTCAGAGTAGAGCATCAGACATGCTCAGATGATCCACGAAGAGCATGGAGCGTCGCCCCAGTTGATTTCCACTGGAAGTCTCTCTCCTGCATTCTGTGCAGGAATTTGACTGGGCATGTGGTGACCAGGCTCGCTGCGGCTGAGCGTCCTGCAGGGCCTATCACAGCACAACACCCGCTTTCGCAGGTGGTATCGTGCACCGGAGCTCATTCTCCTGCAGGAGAATTACACAGAGGCGTCGGCGGCATGATATGGCATGATCATATGCAAGGAACTTTCAAGGATCACATGCCCGCTGCAGAGCCCGGACATTTATTTAGCGGAAGTTCACGTAGAACAGCAAGTGATTGTAAGGAAATTGCTAAAAACTGACAATTGGCAAGTGAGAGAGGGAGAGAGGTGAACACAGTTGAACATTCCCAATGGATGGTTCTGTTCGGTGTTGGGCACTGATCCTCCGAAAAGGATCCCACTTGAAATGATTGGCTTCTTCTTGTTTTGATGCACGCAAGCTTTCCGTTTCTATACGAAACATTGTGAAACAACTTTCATGGTACCAGTTCTTTGTAGAGCTTTGAGTTTTAGCTGCCAAACCGATCAAAATACCAGGGACGTCTTTATCCTGGATCATAATGTTCGGCATTTGCGAGACCGGCTCACAAACTCAGCAAGCTCCAAGCTCCGATTTGCTGAGGCGATTGACATTTGGTCCGTGGGGTGTATCTACGCCGGGGGGCCGATGGTCGGAGGGCCGAAGGGTCGACAAGGTGAGGTATTTTCTTTTGGATCTACCAGGCGACTTTCTTGTTGTGTGATTAAGGGCCGGTGAAGTTTAAGACAGATGTTGTCTTTGAGACATTCTTCTCTTAGAGATTCCAATATTTCATGTAAGAGTTGATCATACTCAGGGTTTTGGAGATCAAACAAGCCTAGCAGCACCTCGCAGCATGGTCACGTGGAGGGATGGAGCTTCGGGAGGCTACAGGCGCATTGCCTGTGTGAGGTTTCGTGGTTTGGAACCCCTAAACTTGGCGACGTTCCAGCAAAGAGCCAAGGGAACCATGTATATACTATATACAGAGAAGGAGAGAGAGAGAGAGAGGGAGAGAAAGAAACAGAACATACACAGGTTCCACCTCGCTTGCATGTAACAATGTACCACCCGCGAGGCGGAGCTTCTTGGCATGCTAGAGGGCACCCGCACGCAGGCGGGGCCGTGAGGTCAAGTGCACCCATTTCGCCACTGCCAAACGCAACTAGTAGCGTCCTTGCTCCTAGTAGTAAGGCCAGGAGCCCCTAGTAGCGTCCTTGCTCCTAGCACAGATGCCAGGAGCCCCTAGTAGCGTCCTTGCTCCTAGTATAGGTAGCGTCCTTGCTCCTAGTAGCGATGCCAGGAGCCCCTAGTAGCGTCCTTGCTCCTAGTAAGGGCAGGAGCCCCTGGTAGCGTCCTTGCTCCTAGTAGCGATGCCAGGAGCCCCTAGTAGCGTCCTTGCTCCTAGTAGCGATGCCAGTATTATAGTAGCGATGCCAGGAGGCCCTAGTAGCGTCCTTGCTCCTAGTAGCGATGCCAGGAGCGCCTAGTAGCGTCCTGGCTCGTAGTAGCGATGGCAGGAGCCCCTAGTAGCGTCCTTGCTCCTAGTAGTAAGGCCAGGAGCCCCTAGTAGTGTCCTTGCTCCTAGTATCGATGCCAGCACCCACTAGGCCACTAGTAGCGTCCTTGCTCCTAGTGGCGATGGCAGGAACCCCTAGGCGTCCTTGCTCCTAGTAGTAAGGCCAGGAGCCCCTAGTACCTTGCTCCTAGTAGTGATGCCAGGCGCCCCTAGTAGCGTCCTTGCTCCTATTACCGATGCCAGGAGCGATGCCAGGAGCCTAGTAGCTTCTGGCTCCTGGTAGTAACGGCCAGCAGCCCCTACTAGCTTCTTGCTCCTAGTAGTAAGGCGAGCCCGTGTAGCGTCCTTCCTCCTATTCCAGGAGCCTAGTAGCTTCTCGCTCCTTGTAGTAAGGCGAGGAGCCCCAGTAGCGTCCTTGCTCCCAATAGCGATGCCAGGAGCCCCTAGTAGCTTCTTGCTCCTAGTAGCAAGGCCAGGAGCCCCTAGTAGCGTCCTTGCTCCTAGTGGCGATGCCAGGAGCCCCTAGGCCAGGAGCCCTTAGCAGCGTCCTTGCTCCTAGTAGTAAGGCCAGGAGCCCCCAGTCGTAGCGTCCTTGCTGCTAGTAGCGATGCCAGGAGCCCATAGTAGCTTCTTGCTCCTAGTAGTATGGCCAGGAGCCCCTAGTAGCGTCCTTGCTCCCACTGCCGATGCCAGGCGCCCCTAGTAGCGTCTTTGCTCCTAGTAGCGATGCCAGGAGCCCCTAATAGCGTCCTTGCTCCTAGTAGCGATGCCAGGAGCCCCTACTACCTTCTTGCTCCTAGTAGTATGGCCAGGAGCACCTCGTAGCGTCCTTCCTCCTACTACCGATGCCAGGAGCCCCTAGTAGCTTCTTGCTCCTAATAAGGCCAGGAACCCCTAGTAGCGTCGTTGCTCCTGCGTCCTTGCTCCTAGTAGCAATGCCAGGAGCCCCTAGTAGCTTCTTGCTCCTAGTAGTAAGGCCAGGAGCCCCTACTAGTGCCAGCAGCCCCTAGCAGTTTCTTGTTACCAGTAGCGATGCCAGGAGCCCCTAGTATCTTCTTGTTACTAGTAGCGACGCCAGGAGCCCCTAGTAGGGATGCTTCTTGCTCCTAGTAGTAAGGCCAGAACCCCTAGTATCTTCTTGTTACTAGTAGCGACGCCAGAAGCCCCTAGTAGCTTCTTGTTACTAGTAGCGATGCCAGGAGCCCCTAGTAGCTTCTTGTTACTAGTAGCGATGCCAGGAGCCCCTAATAGCATCCTTGCTCCTAGTAGCGATGCCAGGAGCCTCTATAGTAGCTTCTTGCTCCTAGTAGTATGTCCACTAGTAGCGTTGGCAGGAGCCCCTAGTAGCTTCTTGCTCCTAATAAGGCCAGGAACCCCTAGTAGCGTCGTTGCTCCTAGTAGCGATGGCAGGAGCCCCTAGTAGCGTCCTCGCTCCTAGTAGCAATGCCAGCAGCCCCTAGTAGCTTCTTGTTACTAGTAGCGATGCCAGGAGCCCCTAGTATTTTCTTGTTACTAGTAGCGACGCAAGGAGCCCCTAGTAGCTTCTTGTTACTAGTGGCGATGCCAGGAGCCCCTAGTAGCGTTCTTGCTCCTAGTAGTGAGGCCAGGAGCCCCTAGTAGCGTCCTTGCGCCTAGTAGCGATGCCAGGAGCCCCTAGTAGCGTCCTTGCTCCTAGTAGCGATGCCCTTTGTTCCTAGTAGCTTTTTGTCCCTAGTAGTAAGGCCAGGAGCCCCTAGTAGCGTCCTTGCTCCTAGTAGCGATGTCCTTTGTTACTAGTGACTTAATGTTAAACAGAAACAATCCACACGCAGGATAGAGGCCCGCTGTTTCCTGGGTCTTCATGTTTTCCCTTGTCACCGGACCACAAGCACAAGCAACTCGGCCTAGTGTTGTGGTCTCGTTTTTGCTGTTTTCTGACGCGGGCCAAAGCCAAGGACTGACTACAAGTACCACACGCAGCGTTCTTAGCTTCCGGACCAGGAACTGGAAGTGGTTTGTTCTTTCCGCGCCCCTGCCTCAGGCGTGGGAAACACGACCAGCTCAACATGATTTTCAATCTCCTGGGTCTTGGACCTCAGCCACCGGCCATGGAGAGGGGGGCCTTTGTCCAACCACAGGTTGTGTGGAAGGAAACACTTTGGGCTCGGCTTGAGGTTATGATTTGGAGCGTGTCTTTTCTAACATTTGCATGGCTGGATGGCTGTTATTTCATATCTCGGTTGGCTGACCTACAAGACTCCAACCACAGATACATTTTATATCATTATATATATAAGAGGCATTCGTTGTCTTTGTTTTTCGCAGGTCTGCAATGCCATTTGCAAGCCAATAGGTACATATATATATATAGTATTTGTGTATTTTTGACGGATCTTCCCTTCCAGCTACATGCCTTTCGTCGCCGAGGAACACCAGGAGAACCTGACATCGAACAGCTTGAACGAGAAGACGCAAAGAGGCGGGTGTGAGACACGCGTGGAAGGCCATGTTCCACACAATAGACGTGGGAGTCCATGTGGCACTTGGTGGCAGGTCCATTGTTTCACTTGCTTTTGCTGCATGGAATTCAGAAACTCGTGAGCATCATCCCAGTGATTTTGGCAAGGTACATTCGCTGCTTTGCTGCGCGGGATTTCCCAACTGTACTGCTGCAGCTTGCGTCGAGCATGATGGTTGTCAAAGCGGGTGGCAGAAGAATTCACAAGTCCTCATGTTTTGTTCAAGCGTTAGTTGTTTGCCAGGGCGGGTTCTCACATGTTTTGAAAGGCAACTCGCATTTAACTCAGCGTATCGGTCCCTGCTGTCCAACAACTTAGCGGGTCAACTATGGGTGGGGAAGCAGGGAGATTTGCATGATATGGTAGAGTACCCTTCCTTTCTCAGCTTAAAAAAGATCCTCGCCATGAAATTGTAGTGGTAACCTTTGTTTACAGACTGTCACTAGTTGATTTTAATAGCGATGGCCTCCAACCTATTTGCGGGGAGGAGATCAAGAGATTCTTTTTGGCCTTGCCATGGGCCAAGCGCTTCTTGTGGCGTGTTTGGATAGAAGTTTCGCGTCACCCAGGCGGTCAGGTGACGGCTTGGCTGTGAAGTTCCCTGGCGTGGATGCCATGTCTGGCATGTTTTGGATGGCAGGAGCGACCGACGTTCTGAAGATTCTTGAGGTGGCCCCTGAATTCATCAGTTAGGCAGTGAGGTGAGGGTCAGCAAGTAGCCAGTGATGTGATGAGCATTTTATGATATGTTAGGGCAAATGTGCGTGTTGGGGGCTAGGGATGGCTAGGGGTGTTTGGTGTGTTTGTGTTGTTCTTGTTCTGAGTGTTTCCGGTGTTTTTCCCATGTCATCAAGGAATCAAGGTGCTAAGTGAGAAGATCAAAACCAATGAATTGTCCCGGCTACTTAGTACCCTTCGTGCTTTCACTTGGCCAGTCCGTCAGCATCTGGCCCATCGGCACTTGGCCAGGCTGACGCCATTGACATCCTCAATCGGATGCTGCGTTTCAACCCAAAGGACTTGGCACGGAACCACTCATCGCACGGAGCTGGTGGCATATCTCCTCGCCCAGCAGGTTTGATTTGGAGTGTCAATCTGGAAACGCTGTGCTTGTTGCACTTTCAAGGCAGTGGAAGAGGCCTCTGAAATATCTCCCGTTGCAATAATAACCTCCAACCTAGTGAAAACGGGGGGGACCCAAAATGTGTTTGTCATAATAAATGCTACTCGCACAATAAACCTCACGGAACTTAGAAGCAAGTTTGTAATTGCATGTATTTACTTTATTGGCGAAATTCGATTTACTGTAGTTGACTCATGTTGGATCCCTTTCTGTTGTACGGCCCACTGAAAAGGCAGGTTTTTTGTGGCAGTAGTTTTTTATTTTGTGTTTTAGGTGGCTCGTTGTGTACTGTTCTGATGTGATCATTACAGCGAATCCGGCGCATGTGAGGATCGCATTGCCGTGACAGAGGCCTTAGAGCACAGGCCAGGGCAGCCAGCATACGCAATGCAAAATGTGCAACATCTCCAGAGCAAAAATACCACTCATAGTGACTGGGATGGGTGATGATCGTGATGGAGCGTTTTTGTGGGTCAGCATCGGCTTGGTGTGCTGAGGTTATTCACAAGTGGCCCCAATGTTATCCGCGACCAATCCCGGGAGACGTGCGGATCTTAAGATTTTTCCGGGCAGGGGGTGCGCAGACACATGGACTGGCTTCTAGAATCGTCCACCTCACGGGCCGTTTTGGTAGCATAAAGATGTGTGCTATATTTGCCTATATATATGTGTGTGTGTGTAAATGCATATGTCCATACGTGCGTGCGTGGGTGTTTGTGTGTGTGTCTCATGGTTGGGCTCAAGGTGATTTTGCTTAGTGCGAAGCATCAATCATCGACCAATGATGCTTCAATTGGTGATGCATCAAGGCAGGCAGACAAAGAGCTGGATGCAGAACTGCCAAGGTCTGCTCCCAAATACGTCACACTGGAATTCGAGAAGGCCGATGTGTCATGGCTTTCCTCCACATTCCTGTACAGTTTCACATGGCACGTGGGGTGATGGAAGATGCTGTGAGGAACCCGATTTGGACGAGAAGCTCTTGCGGAAATACTTCTGCAAGGTGATGAGCTTGGGATATCGCCTCCCCTCGCAGTGGGACCCTGGCATCGGGGAAAGAATTGTAGGCACAAACTGGGATACAGAAGGTGACCCAATTCACCATTCTCAGGACTTTGTAGGGGCTGGCCTTTTGAAGCACCTGCAGGTTGCCTTCCCTCTCAAGTGTCCACCTGTTGGGGAGGTATCCACCAAGGGACCCAGGGTCTATGTTCAGTTTGCCAGACGGTCCAGCAGTTCCCCTAATATTCCTAACTCATTAAATGTGAATGGGACGTTTGCCGCCTCTGCTACTTTCTGTGTGCCAGAGGTTTCGTGAGTGCTGTTGCAACAGAATTCATTGCTTGACATGGCCGAAATGGAACAGCTTGAAGGATTCAAGGATGTCAATAAGGGCTGATGCTACAAGAGAATAAACACCATCGAGGCAAGTCACAGAAGTTGACTGGCTGATGCCCTTCGCCAGGAGATCAAGAAGTATCATCCAGAAATGCCAGATATGTAGCCTCCCAAGGCTGAAATGCAAAGGTATCTCCGGCTCATTTGCGTTCTGCGCTTGAGCACACTGCTTGTGCAGAAAGTTGTTTTGGCCGCTTGCTTCAGTCGCCGAGTGCGTGTTGGGAAAGAAAAACGTAGAACCATAGGACTTAAGCCAAAATATGAGGGACCGTTTATATATATATATATAATTATGTTTTGGATAGAGTGTTGGGAAGTGTTTGGCAAGTCCGTTATGTGAGGATCTCATCCAAGTGATGACTAGGGAGGCTGGCCTCGTTATACCTGACGCATCCACAAGCGTCCCAACAGTCAGCTTTTTGCCGCCAGATGGCCTGGGCTTTGGAGTCAAAGCGCGGCGATTCAGGCTCGAGTCAGAACCAAATCGTCCGACACGGTGAATCAGTGGTGAATCAAACATTCCAGCAACAACAACGCAACAATGTCATGCCGACCTAGCTCCAAACAAAGAGCAAACATGAAAAATATAGCAGCTTAACATGAACGCTACTAGGGGCTCCTGGCATCCCTACTAGGAGCAAGGACGCTACTAGGGGCTCCTGCCATCGCTACTAGGAGCAACGACGCTACTAGAGGCTCTTGGCCTTACCAATAGGAACAAGAAGCTACTAGGGGCACCTGGCATCGCTACCTGGAGCAAGAAGCTACTAGGGCCTCCTGGCCTTACTACTAGCAACAAGAAGCTACTAGGGGCTCCTGGCATCGCTACTAGGAGCAAGAAGCTACTAGGGGCTCCTGGCCTTACTACTAGTAACAAGAAGCTACTAGGGGCTCCTGGCATCGCTACTAGGAGCAAGAAGCTACTAGGGGCTCCTGGCCTTACTACTAGGAACAAGAAGCTTCTAGGAGCTTACCCATTGAAGGATTCAACCTCTCAACCTTTGCTCTGATCCGAGGCCCAGCTGACAAGCCACAAGGGCTCACTGGCTGGGAAACATTTCCTCCGCCGCGGCGTCGCGGCGCCCTTTAGGGGCTGCAGAGCTGGTTCTCCCAAGCTGCAAGCTGCACCGCGAAGTGAGCAAGTCATGGGTGATGTGGTGAAGTGAGATGGGATCAGGGGCTCTTGGGAAGGGGAGGAGCACCTAGTGACGTGGAATCAGACTGAGACAACCCACTGTCAAGATTATGAAGGCAAATTGCAGAGTTGTTTTTTTTCTGCAGATCAGGAATCGTGTTTGAGGTTCAATCAGTCAGTGCTCAAAGGACTTGCTTTCATCCAGGCTGAGCTTTGGCGGTCACAGAATCACAGGTCATCAAAGCGATGGCTACCCTAAAGTGCACCAGGGAATTGTTGTTGGGATAGATGCCCTGCAACAAAACGAATCAGCAAAACACTCCAGATAGGGGCACATTTTCCTGGCTATTGAAACTTTTGGTGAAATGCCTTCAATGCAATTTTGAGACATTGATATGTCAATCGAAATTCGTCATTATTTCCATGAATGCGTTGAACCTGGTGCACTGCAAAATCATTCCCAGAGCTGCATATTATAGTCTGCCAAAAGTGATGTCTTGAAATAATTGAATTGACATTGTATAGATGTCATTTAAACTGAAGAAATCTGTGTTTAGTGTCAGATTCAAGGCGCTTCCGCTCGCGGCTGCTGATTGAAGGGCATGGAGACGCTGGGTGTTGGTGTTCGAGTGCCAAAACGGCGGAAATGAAATGAAAGCATTTGTTGGTGTGTTCTTCAGAATTAAGCGCGCATTCACGGAAATTCGCTTTTTGGGGTACATATGCGTGAAATGGCCACGTAAAACGAGTATATATTTACTTATATATGATGCATATGTTTTGTAATGCGCAGCTTTCTATTTTCGGAGTAATATATGTGTGAATTTAGCATGTCATAGAAGTATGAGGCCATGGAAGCATTAGGCATGAAGGCTGGTTGATTCCGATGTTGCAAGGGCCCGAACCAATAATTCAGCTTTGTGCTTAAACGGTTGCCATGTTTGCACTTGAGCGTCGATCGTTTGCATAGATCCCATACACTTGTCACAAGTGGATGCTCTACACCGGAGCCTTGGTTGTCCTCATCTGATGATCTTCCACTTCGAGGACCTTGGCGCTCCTTTCCGCTGAAGGCCTTGTTACTCCACCGCTTGATTCCGCTGATGGCGTTGTTGGTTGTGTGGCAATGGAGCTTTATGTGGACTGGCAATGGCTGGAAGTGTGCATGTTGTCAGAGTGGGAGACTACTATAGACAGAGCACACACCCCGGCTCACCTCCGAGCTCCCTCCGTTGTTGGCCGGACAACCAGACACAACGTCGAATGTGTTTGTGTATGTGAGCGATCGTTCAGAAACCGGATATGTTTTGGACCTCCTGTTCCACCTTACAGGTCGCTCGAGGGTCCTGAACATGTAGAGTCTGAAACCATGACAGATGATCCGATTATTGATCCGGATGGTGGTGAAGTCCACAAGGAAGGAAACCTCGCAGATCCATCAAAGCAAGAGCCCGATATATACAACACAGCAGTAGCAGTAGCATCAGCAGAAAATGGTGGTAATTATAGATACAGTATATGATATTGACATGATGTTGGTGCACAGCAGTCAATTGCAGACAATACAAATTAAGCTCACCAAAATGTTGCCAAGTTTGGTTAAGACATTGCGAAATGCAGTCAACAAGGCCAATCCGGCATCAGGTGGCAGCTCATCCACCTGGAATTTCTGAATGGGACCGGAAGAGAGGGTTCGCTACAAGTCTGGTACGCTTCCACAACCACCGTAATGGAAGCACAACAAAGACGACTTGACGAGTTCTTTAACCAATGCAACTTGGCAATCTGGAAGCTCAAATCGTGGCTTGCATGAGCACGAAGGACGCAGCACTACTTCTCTATTCCTCGCCCACTGGCAAGGCAGAAGAAGAATGACCGCTTGGAGTCTGCAGACGGGAGATGCATTGAGCTGACCATGAAAGCATTGTTAAGCATCCTGGTAAATTCCTTACAGCATACACCAACCGCTACTGCACCGACGTTGTGAAGTTGCGTTTCAATCGGTTGCAACTGATGTAGATGTTTGGAAAGGAGTCCGCTCAGCCCTGAAACCAAAGTCTCGTACTCATTGGGGCAGGTTAGAAGCAGTGCTACGAGACCATCGTTGAATGATTTCCCTGAGCACAAACTTCCACCGCAGTTGTTCGGGAAATTTTGATAATGAATGGAGTCGAAGCTTGCCACTACTTTATCCGGCTTATCCTTGTTCCCGAAGATTTGCTGAAGCGGAAGACCCTCTCGTGAGGCCATTGAGGAAGACAATGAAGAGCTTCACGATCCGGATGTTGAGGATTAATCGGAATCCGCCGATATTGAAGAGACCGCCGACAATGTTATCGATGATAGTGATATAGTAAGATTAGTAAGATGATTCTTTCGAACCCAGCAGTTGGATCAAGAGTGTAGCAGAACGTAAGCGCGATTCTACCTGCTTTGCTTGGGGTTAATTAGGCCATTACGGGCAAATTCATTTATAAAGACAGCAATGGTAAGGACATATAATGGAAAAGAAATTATATTGGAATTGACTATGTGGATGAATTTTTGCACTAAATAGAACGCTACGGTCGAGCCTCCAGAAACATCATATATAATCCATCTCTAATGTCTTCGTGTTCATTGCAATGGTTGATTATGAGAGTTGTTGTATGGTTGGATCATCGTTGTGGGATATGGTTCATGATGTATCAAAACAGAAAGCACGCACTCTAATTATACATGAATATAGATAGATAGATATTAATACGAAAGCCAGCCGATAGGTTAGGCTGGAGTTGCCAATGGGCGAACGAAGTGAGTACAGGGGGTGGGGGAGGTCGCAAACCCGGTCCTGTCGGGTAGGGCGAACCCAGATAGAGCCTGGCGGGGGAGTGATAAAAAAATGATGCGATTAGGATGGTAATGAAAATGTATGGCTTCGGGGGTTTGGTGATACGAATGACGAATTGATGTGGAATCTATATATAGTCGGCTTATTATGTTAAAATGAATGCGTAGTTATCTATATTATCTTGTATATTTGTATTTTGGAATATGTTTATATATATATAAATATGTTATTTTGGCTTAATATGGTGGTTTAATTACGAAAGCTAGCACCAGCTAGCTGGAGTTGTCTTTGTTTTAGCAAGTGAGGGGCTGGAAGCCTCGAGATCGCCGTGAAAATTTTATACGTAGAGGGCGCCCCCCTCCGCGGGTTTAATTCTTTCCTTAGACGCTTTTGGAACACTTGTTGGACAATTCTTATGGTATCCACTTTGGTTTAACTCCTCTATGGAGATTTTGGGATACGATGCAAGAGGTTTAATAGATTCACAAGTTAAGGTCGATAAAGTTATTGCTATTCGTGTGTTTTACATATTTATAGTATTTACTTTATGAACGAGATTTTGTGAATTATCTCTTCAATAGCCTTATGTTTATGAAAAAAGAAATGTCATTCCGCTTGATGTTTTACTCATCTTTTGTCATCGGACGGCGTTGTATGCTTCGACTTTAATTGATATGGATGCATCTTTGCTAGTTTTCGTCACCTATTCTCGGCCTCAAGTGATTTTACGATATTAAAGATATAATGATTTGATATTGAATTCTGTAAATGAATTCGTAATTGTTTGAATTTTATTTCGAATTTGGATTTCGATATTTGTTTATGATGTTATTTTATTGAATTCTCTAAATGAATTCTTAATTGTTTGAATTGTATTTCGAATTTGGATTTCGATATTTATTTATGATATTGTTTTTTATTTTTATTGTTTTTTCTATGATTGTTAAATTGGCGGTATTGAATTTTATATAAGGGTTGTTTTTTATTTGTAGGGAGAATTAGTATTAATATATTTTTTATAATATAATATAATAATATGTATTTTAAATTTATTCGATTTATACGATTTGTTTTTAAATATGTATATGTATTTAAAATATATATTTTTTTAAAAAATTATTTATAAATAGAGAATATGAAAATATATATGTATTTGTAAATGCCATCTCAATTTAAGAGTGTAGTGCACGATCTGGGACTCGTGGGGCCGCGCTATGTTTCGTTTGAATTTTTTTCGATTAGCTACTCTTATGTCAATTGCGCTATTATTTATTTATTTGAATCGTCCGGTCCTAAGTCCGGAGAATCCTCTAATTATTTCGAACATTGTTTTCGATTTACGAGGATTCGGCGCGAGGATTACCCATCTGGCCTTAGGGATGGGTGGGAACAGCTTTGAACAAGGTCTTGCAGGCACTCTTGCAAAAATGCTATGAGGCATGGGCATCGTCGGGCCTCGATCATGCTGAGTCACGTTTACGTTGCAATAGATTGAAGCGCTCATTTACCAGAACTTGTGCTAGGGCCTTGAGGGAAGGACACGCCACCTTTAAAGGTAAGCAGATATATCCCCATCAAATTCCTTTTCGTATTAAATAACATATATTTGCCCATTTACCCAAACCATGTCGGCTTGCACCTACCCGTCGTTTACCGAACCCTCCTGGCCCGGGACACCTGAGCATGTTTCAGTGGAACGCATCTAGGTCGATCGAATACCACTCCTGGTTGCATTGGTGTGATACCAGTCCGTACGACATCATCGCTCTTTAGGAATCCGGATGATCCATGAACAATGAGTGGAGCTCCAAGCATTGGCACATAGTGCACTCAGATCGTTTTGCTTCTATCTTGTTTATGGTGCCCTCAGCACTAGTTCGACAGGATTAGATTTCGATTGCATATTATGCCCATAGCCGCCTACTTCAGGTACGCTTGAACCTCCCACGACCACACGACTTTGTGATCGTTTACCAACAGGCCTGGTCCGAACACGTCAAATCTTTTCGAAAAGACAACATATTTGGATTCTCCTGCAGCACTGTCTTGAACGCCTGCCTCAACGACATCAGGTAATGATTTGTGATGATTTTAATATTCCCCTTAATTATGTACTCTATAAGGTGCACACAGCAGATCCGAAATATTCCTAAGCTGCACGGAAGGATAAACAGACACTATCTACCCTGATCCGGCAGTTCG